CAGGCTTCCAGGAGAGCCCAGAGCCATCAGTCTGTCCCCATCACTCATGTTTTCCCTACACCCCTTATCACTGCACTGCTCTCCCATCCTGCTTCCACCACAGAGGCTCAGCACCCAAAGCTGAACGCATCACAGCATCCCAGTCCTCACCCATGGCAGTGAGTTAACTGCCATGCCTCCTGTCAACCCCCCCTGTGCACAGCATCTGGTGCAGCACCATTGACACGCAGTGTTTGCATCAGGCCACAACTGCTGCCCCACCAGCCCAAGACCTTCTTGCTATGCAGCTGCTTGTGCACGCGTGCTGCAGGTCACCAACCCAGGCACCTCAACACCTCCATCGGTGCCTGCTGGGCTCCAGGGCCAGCTTCCAGGCACTTCCCACCTCTCCTAAGCTGTGGGTCAGAGCAGCAGCTCCCCAGTGGAAACAAAGCAAAGCATCCCTCAGGTACCACTTGCAGCACAACCATAGGAAACCACCCCCAGACTTCTTTCCTAGAGCCATTTCCCCGCAGCACCCTGGAGCCATCCCTTCCCATGTACCTTAGCATCAGGACATCCATTCCCAGGGATCCACACAACCAAGCTCAACCCAAAGGCAGCCTTGGCTCTGCCTTATAAAGGCACTGATCCCTTCTGCTCCCAGCTGCCTGCAGGGACTTGCTCCAGCTGAGCTCGTTATGGGTTCAGCTCGTTATGGGTGGCTGTGGAAGGAGGTGATGGGGCAGCAAACCCTCATCCCTTGCCCGGCCCCTGCTTGCAGGAGCTAACCTGCCCCATCTGCCCCCTCCCCAGCGTGTCCCTGCCCCACCACAGAGACATCATTCGCAACTGCGCCGTCAGCGTGGACCAGATCCAAGACCTGCACTCCCCGATGTCCCCCATCTCCGAGAACCCAGCATCACCCGCCTACAGCACGGGTAGGCATCACCGCTGCATCCCACTGGGGATGGGGGGGAACGTGGGTCAGGCTGGGCTTGGCACGGGTGTGATGCAGGGACCTGGGAAGGGAATGGTGTTGGCTGTAAAGCCCCAATGTCTGGTTCTGTGTATGGCAAAGAACTGTCCTGGCAGAGGGCTGGAGCTGGGGATGGGGCTGGCTGCTACAGCCGTGGTCCCTACACGTGTGTATCTGATCACAGCATCTCCTCTCCTCCCCACAGTTACCCGGCTAAAGCCCCACGCCTGCCAAGCGGCTGGAGCTGCCCCAACCTCTCCAGTCATAAGAAGGTCCAGCGAGCCCCAGCTGTGCCAGGGGAACAGCAGCAAAGCCCTGCCAGACCCTGCCCACAGCTCCCACTCGACTCCGTGCCATGGCTATGCCCGTGCCTCCCCTTCTCCCTCCGTGAACAGCTACAGCGAGCCGGACACGGGGCACTACTGCCAGCTCCATCCCACCTCACCCATGAGCAGGGACCGGCCGGCTCACGACACCAAGCAGCTCCCAACAAAGAGCTACGTGGAGAGGCTAAAGGTGGAGGAAGGACACAGAGGGACTATAGAGAACGGCTCCAGGGAAGCAGAGGCAGCGCAGAGGCTGAAGGGAGAGCTGGACTATGTGGGCTTTGTGCCCCCCACCATGGAGACAACCTCCTCCTTCAACCCTGCAGCCTTCCAGTCCCTGCTTATCCCCATGGAGAACAAGCCTCTGGAGATGGCTGTGCTCAAGAAGGTCAAAGAGCTGCTGGCAGAGGTGGATGTGAAGACGTTGGCCAAACACATCACTAAAGTGGACTGCGTGGTACGGCCAGGGCCAGGCGGGAGGGATGGGTACCGCTGCCCTCCCATCACTGTGGGATGCACCCTGAGCGTGGAGCATCCCTGCTGGGCTCTGCCCTGTATCAGCCAGGGCAGGCAGAGGCTGCTTCAGCCTCTCCTCAATTAACACAGCTTAATTAACACAGCTCTCCCCTTTGTTGCCAGGTCGCCCGGATACTGGGGGTGACAGCGGAGATGCAGCAGATGATGGGGGTGAGCTCCGGCATGGAGCTGCTCACCCTGCCCCACGGCCACCAGCTCCGCCTCGACCTGCTGGAACGGTACTGCATGGGATGGCACAGCCCCCATGGGACATCCCCAGCTTGGCACAGTGGGGGGGGGGGTCCTCTGCACCCCACGGGGTGGAGGAGCCCTGGAGCATCCCTGTTCCCCCTGCCCTGACCCCGCTCTGCGTCTCTCCCCACGGCAGGTTTCACACCATGTCCATCATGATCGCTGTGGACATCCTGGGCTGCACGGGCAGCACGGAGGAGCGGGCTGCCCTGCTCCACAAAACCATCCAGCTGGCAGCCGAGCTCAAGAGCACCATGGGGAACATGTTCAGCTTCGCGGCTGTGATGAACGCCTTGGAAATGACACAGGTACAGGGATGCTCCCTTCATCCCATGAGCCTGGGCTCAGCCTATAACACATCCCGCTCCCCGCATCCTGCAGGCTCCAACACCCATTGGTGTGGGAGAAGAAGGGAAAACACCCAGAGGTGTGGGGTAAAGGCTGGACTTGATCTTAAAGGTCTTTTCCAACGCGGTTGATGCTCTGATTCCATGCAAGCAGGGAAGGGGAAGAGCTGTCCCCGCAGCAGAGCACACAGCCCAATCCCGCTGGGATCCGATTGTTTGTCAGTGGTTGGGCTTTTTGTTCAGCGCTGGGCTGTGTTCCTGGGAGGAAATGAATCTGCCCTGCAGTACAATGCACACCAGGCTCAAGGCAGCAGCATCTCCGGGCCACGCTGCTCCCTTTGCGAGACGAAAGGAGATTAAAATCCACTTTTAAATGGAGCCCAGCTGGGAAGTCTTTGCTTCCTGCCCGCACAAAGGAGGTGGAGCTGCCCTCTCCCTGCCTCTCATCTTCAAGGCCGCTGCGACGCTTCGGTCCTGCGGCACGGGCAGGGGGGACACATCCTGATCCCGGCCTCGCTGCTGGCGACGTGCCTGGGTTGGGGGGGCAGCAGGCGCTGGGATGGGATGGGATGGGGGGGCACGGCCCCAGGGCCGGGCTGTGCGTCCCTGGGAGCACCCTGTGATCCCAGAGCTCGGTGCCCCTAGCACCTTCCACCTGCCCCGTGTGCTTCCAGATCTCCCGGCTGGAGCAGACCTGGACGGTGCTGCGGCAGCGGCACACGGAGGGCGCCATCCTCTACGAGAAGAAGCTGAAGCCGTTCCTGAAGAGCCTGAACGAAGGGAAAGGTAACGGGAGGAGCTCCCCTTCTCTTGCCTGCCTGCTCCTTCCCCCTTCATCCACAGCCGCTGTGGAGGGGATGTGTTCGGGAGCTCTGCCCCTCTCCCAGACAGCTCCAGACGCTTCCCTGTGGCTGCGGAGCCACCCCGCAGGGCCCGCTTGGCCTCGGCTGCTCCTTCCTTCCCAAGGAAGCATTTCCTAACTAAACAAACCCAGCGGCCGAGCCGAGCCCAGCCCTTGAGCTCGCATGGGGATGGGGCAGCGAGTCGGGAGGATGCAGAGCCACATCTCTCCAGCATCCAGCCCTCCGCTCCCCATCGCAGCCCTGGCAAACACAGACACAGAGCAGGGACAGCAGCGTTCCCCTCCTGGCACAACCAGGAAGCCCAGCTGGGAGGTGCTGGTGTTGAACCAGTGATGGCCCCAGGCGCAGCAATAAAGAGCCAAAGCTGCTGCTGAGCCTTCAGTCCGCTCCCTGGAGCATCCTGGCTCCATGGGGAAGGGATGCAGGGGCACAGGGTCCTCACTGTGGCTCTCCCCACAGAAGGGCCGCCGCTGACCAACACCACCTTTCCCCACATCGTGCCCCTCGTGACGCTGCTGGAGCGGGATGAGGCTCTCACGGACAACCCCGAGCCCTGGGAGGCCAGCGACAGCGGCGTGGAGGTGGTCATGGCTCACCTGGAGGCGGCGCGGATGGTGGCCCACCACGGCGGGCTCTACCACACCAATGCGGAGGTGAAGCTGCAGGGTAAGCCATGGGGGCACAGGGCCCCTTTCCCTCTGCTCCAGTCCAGGAGCATCCCATGGGCTCCCCATTATCCCTAGGGACTGACTCTCCCTCTCTGCAGGTTTCCAGGGCAGAGCGGAGCTGCTGGAGATTTTCAGCACCGAGTTCCAGCTGCGGCTGCTGTGGGGCAGCCGTGGGGCTGAGAGCAGCCAGGCCGAGCGCTATGAGAAGTTCGACAAGGTCCTCACTGCCCTGTCCCACAAGCTGGAGCCGGCCGTGCGCTTCAGTGAGCTGTGACCCTTGGCTCCCAGCCTGGTCTATGGGGCAAGGGATGGGGCCAGGAATGTGGCACCAGAAGAGGAGAGATGGCCTGGAGAGGCACTGGGGCACTGGTCAGCAATACTGAGACAAAGAGGAGGAAAAACAGGCACCTTCCATCTCCCACCCACCTCCTCAGGATGCAACAAGGGATGGGGACAGTGCCCCCATCCAGCCCCAGAGAGGTCTTTGACTACACATTGCTCCTCACCTCGCCCTTTGGTTTCATTTCTTTCCATCCCCATCTCACCCAGAGCCGCTGGATCCCACCTGTAAATACACTGTTGTGGTCGCTCCTTGATGTACAGACTCGTGAAGGACAGCTCTTGTTGTAAATAGTTAGGCTCATCCGTTGTCCTGTAAATACCTGTACATACCCCATGGGTTCGGTTCTTACATACAATAAACTTTTATGCTGTTCCCATGGGGACCCTTTGTCCTGTGGGTATCATTTAAAGGAGCCCCCGGACCCCCGGGGAGAGCAGATCCTGGGGCAGGGCAGCTGATGGTGTCTGCGGTGCTGAACCCAGCCCTTCTCGGCCCTGGGGGCACTGCACTGTGTGCGCCCTGTGCCCCGCTGCAACGGGGACCGGGGTCCCCAGCGCTTGTAGCGGGGTCCGGGGATCAAAATGCAAGGGGCGGGGCAATGTGGACCAGGTCACGCCCCCTGTTCCGCAGACCACGCCCTCTATGTCAGGTCACGCCCCCCTCGCGGTGCACGCCGGGAGCTGTAGGCCGGGCGGGGCCGCAGCGGGTTGGCGGCCGCCATGGCCCCGGGAGCCGCGGCGCTGGCCCCGGCCCTGGTCCTGCTGGTGCTGGCGGCCGCCGCCGGCCCCGCCGCCGCCTCCTGGGACCTGCGGGCGCTGCGCTGCGGCTTCTCGGACGACTGCGAGTGCGGCTTCGGGCCCGACCTGCGCGGTCAGCGGGGCGGGGGGGAAAGGGGTGTCCGTGAGGCGGTGCCGGGCTGGGTGACAGGGAGCAAGCGGCGCTCGGTGCCAACGGGGAGCTCAAGCCGAGCCTTGCTTTGCCTTCGCGCAGGTCTGGAGTGCGAGCTGGCCGTGAGCGTGGTGGGGCAGCCGCTGGCGAGGCAGCAGGTGATGAGGGCGGTGAAGGAGTTCCTGGCGGAGCAGAACCCGGTGAAGCCGCTGGTGATGTCCTTCCATGGCTCCACCGGCACCGGCAAAACCTACGTGAGCTCCATGCTCATCCGCTACCTGTTCCAGGGAGGGCTCCGCAGCCCCTACGTACATCAGTTCTCTCCAATCCTGCACTTCCCCCATGCTGAGCACATAGAGCAGTACAAGGTAAGGGATGCTGCACATAGAGCAGCACAAGGTAAGGGATGCCGCACATAGAGCAGCACAAGGTAAGGGATGCTGCACATAGAGCAGCACAAGGTAAGGGATGCTGCACATAGAGCAGCACAAGGTAAGGGATGCCGCACATAGAGCAGCACAAGGTAAGGGATGCTGCACATAGAGCAGCACAAGGTAAGGGATGCTGCACATAGAGCAGCACAAGGTAAGGGATGCTGCACATAGAGCAGTACAAGGTAAGGGATGCTGCACATAGAGCAATACAAGGTAAGGGATGCTGCACATAGAGCAGCACAAGGTAAGGGATGCTGCACATAGAGCAGCACAAGGTAAGGGATGCTGCACATAGAGCAATACAAGGTAAGGGATGCTGCACATAGAGCAGCACAAGGTAAGGGATGCTGCACATAGAGCAGCACAAGGTAAGGGATGCTGCACATAGAGCAGCACAAGGTAAGGGATGCTGCACATAGAGCGGCACAAGGTAAGGGATGCTGCACATAGAGCAGACAAGGTAAGGGATGCTGCACATAGAGCAGCACAAGGTAAGGGATGCTGCACATAGAGCAGCACAAGGTAAGGGATGCTGCACATAGAGCAGTACAAGGTAAGGGATGCTGCACATAGAGCAGCACAAGGTAAGGGATGCTGCACATAGAGCAGTACAAGGTAAGGGATGCTGCACATAGAGCAGTACAAGGTAAGGGATGCTGCACATAGAGCAGTACAAGGTAAGGGATGCTGCACATAGAGTGGTACAAGGTAAGGGATGCTGCACATAGAGCGGCACAAGGTAAGGGATGCCACACATAGAGCAGCACAAGGTAAGGGATGCGCACATAGAGCAGCACAAGTAAGGATGCTGCACATAGAGCAGCACAAGGTAAGATGCTGCACATAGAGCGCACAAGGTAAGGATGTGCCATAGAGCGCACAAGGTAAGGGATGCTGCACATAGAGCGGCACAAGGTAAGGAATGCCACACACAGAGCAGTGTAAGGGATGCTGCACATAGAGCAGCACAAGGTAAGGGATGCTGCACATAGAGCAGCACAAGGTAAGGGATGCTGCACATAGAGCAATACAAGATAAGGGATGCTGCACATAGAGCAGCACAAGGTAAGCGATGCTGCACATAGAGCAGCACAAGGTAAGCAATGCTGCACATAGAGCAGCACAAGGTAAGCAATGCTGCACATAGAGCAGCACAAGGTAAAGGATGCTGCACATAGAGCAGCACAAGGTAAGCAATGCTGCACATAGAGCAGCACAAGGTAAGCAATGCTGCACATAGAGCAGCACAAGGTAAGGGATGTGTCCAGCACCGTGCTGCTTGGCTGGGTTTTCTTTGGTTATGTCTTGCTCCTCGGTGCATCCACACTTGGGCTGTTTCCTGGAGTACAGCAGCAATAACAGCTCTTTGTTTCACCCTCTCAAACCTGAGTGAGTGGCTCCACACACTGGCTGAAGGGTCCTCTAGTAATCGCAGTACACTCCAGCACTGAGTTATCACTTTCATCTTCCCTGCAGCAGTCCTGGCCCTGATCACGTTCTCATTCCTTAAATATTTACACAGCCCTTTGAACACACAGACAGAAGTGCTTTGCTTAAACGAAAGGCTCTAAAATTCCCCCACTGCTTTCCCAACAGCTTGATGCCTATCAAAGCCTGCGTATCACCGAGGCTTGTAATCCCCTCCTCGCACAGCGAGCAGCTCCTGAACAGCACCTCTAGGCTCTTGACCGTGCCACTCTGTCTCTTAAGGCTGAGAAGGGGAAATCAAAGTCTGAAGGTTACCTGGCAAACCCTCAGCAGAGCACTTGGTCATTTGGAGTTCTTTGTTTTATTGCATCCTTGAAGATACGCTTTTAAGAAGGCAAACCCCATACTGGGTACAGTGCTCCTGTTAAGGGTAAATGCATGCCCACAGATGACGTGAGTGGGTTTGTGTGGGCTGGCACCCACATTGAAGTAACCTCAGCATTTTAAAGAGCCAGAACTCTCTTGGGTCATGGTGTTCCACCAGGATAGGAGCAGGCTAAAAGCACTCAGCAGCTGGGAGCAGAACGTAGGGAGCTGTAGGAGTAAATCCCCAGCTTTAGTTTGCTGCCTCCTTTAAATCCATAATAAAACACCTACAATGGGTTCATAAAGCCCAAACAGCCATTGTGTGAAACCCACAATACAGGAGGCATTGTGCTGGCTGTACCTGCCCTGAGGAGGTGGTGCTCTGCAGGGACATGCTGCAGCTCGGGCCTTGGCTCTGGGGTAGTGTGAACTTCCTTTGGCATCTCCTTGCCTTATGGCTTGGTGGTATCTCTCCCAGGAAAGCCTGAAGCACTGGATCCAAGGGAACCTGACGCGCTGTGGACGCTCAGCCTTCCTCTTTGACGAGATGGACAAGATGCACCCAGGCTTAATCGATGTGATCCTGCCCTTCCTGGGACCCTCGTGGGTTGTGTATGGGACCAACTACCGCAAAGCCATCTTCATCTTCATAAGGTAAGAGAAGCTCCCCTGTGGCATCACGGGGCTTCCCAGCGCAGTGTTTCTCCTTTGGGCAGAGATCACACCTCCTTCAGAGCACACACTTATTCTGCTTTGCCTTCTCCAAGCCTTTAAACATACCAAGAGACGGAGTTTCATTGTGAATACAGACCTGGAGAGCCTGGAAACGCTCTTCTGTCCCTGTTGGCTGCCTTTACAGGAGTCATTTTAGGCCAGGCAGCGGGAGATCCTGGCTTGCCCTCCTGCAGGCAGGAGGGTGTGAGGTGCCACCTCTCCTGCAGCACTGTTTTCCCTGGGTAGACACTGAACAAGCATCTCCTTCACATACAGCAACGCAGGAGGGGAGCAGATCAATGCAATGACGCTGGACCTGTGGCGAGCCCGCAAGGACCGGGAGGAGATCAGCCTGCAGGACCTGGAGCCGGCCATCTCCAGAGCCGTGTTTGACAACCCTCACAGTGAGTCCATGGCACAGAGCCCTTCCTGCGGGATCAGAGCCCGGCAGAGGGAGCCCGGCCCATTCCAGGCAGCCACCAACACCATCTGCCACCTCCCAGGCAGCCAGGAAGGGACAAGGGGGTTTTGAATGAAGGGAACTGCGATTCCCTGGAGGTTTCCTGGCAAAGGGAAGGAATATCCCGGTCTTCCAAGCCAGCAGACCTGTTGCCACATGCAGCAGAGTTCTTTGGTGACAAGGTGGCTATGGGATGGCAAACAGCACAGCACACTCCCTGAGCCAAGTGAACCAAGATGTACTCATCCTCACTGCCCTGGCTCTCCTTGCTTTGCCCTTGTCACAGGGAGAAGAGCTTGAATTCGGACTAGCCAAGCTAAATTCCCAATTCCTGGAGAACAAGTGCATTGGGGGATGAAGGGGGGGAGACAACTGATGGGTTCAGCTCTCCCCTTGTACAAACCTAAAGCAGATCTGCCTTCAGCAGAGTATTTTGGCTTCACTCAAAGCAGCTCTTTGAACCCCAGGGACTGTAGAGACTCTGAAGGTAAAACCTGTCTCTGCCATTGCTTTTGCAGGTGGATTCTGGAAATCTGGGATCATCAATGAAAGTCTCATTGATTTTGTTGTGCCCTTCCTCCCACTGAAGCACCACCACGTGAAGCAGTGCGTGGTCAGTGAACTGGTGCAGCAAGGCCTCGAAGTGCGCCCGGGTGTTGTGCAGGAGGTGGCTGACAGCATTCCCTACTTCCCAGAGGAGGAGAAAATATTCTCATCGACAGGCTGCAAAACAGTGGCCTCTCGGATCAGCTTCTTCTTGTGATCTTTTTCTGGTGATCTTCCTCAGATCCATAGGGAATGGCTGTGGAGCTGCAAAGCAGCAGAGCCCGGGGCTGGTGGGATGAGCAATGGGAGCTCCATGTTCCCTCCTGACATTCTCCTCCCAAACTCATCCCTCCAGCCCCTCAGGATGCAGCTGTGGGACCAAGTGCAAGTGATGTGATTTAAAGCACTTTACTGGTGTACCCTTGCCCAGGTGAGGGTGGATCCATCACCCAAGACATCTGTGACAACAAGGGGATGATGCTAAGAGGGTCTGCAGTGTCAGGGAGGTTTGTCCCCCTGCCAGCAGCACCCACTTGCAGCTCTCCCCTCTCCTGGCAGCTATTGATGCCCAGCACAGCAAGATTCTGAGCCCATGGAAGAGTATCTCTTTCCTACAGCATTTTAACAGGGTTTAAAACCCTCTTAAGGGTGGCTGTGCCTCAGCTCCTTGGTACAACGTGACAGAGCTGACTCCTGCAGCACTGCCTGTGAACACCTTCAGCATTGCAGCAACGGTTTCTCGTCAAGGAAGCTTTAGAGCCAGCTTCTTTCCAGCTTTCTTTCACTGTGAATGGTGCTGGTAGGGACCAGCTTCACCATCAACAAGCATGAGGGTGGATGTGGGAGATGGCAACACCCCCTTGTCCATCTTTCCTCTAAGGTGCAACAGTTTTCCCTGCAGCAAAGCAGGACAACAACAACAAAGACTTCTCACTTGCTTTACCAGCTATGGAAACTTCAGTCCTACCTCCAGGGAAGCCCATGGTGCCAGTAAAGGCTTTGAAAATCACTTTTATTCGGTGATGATTTGTACAGCAGGCTGAGAGCTGGTGCTGGGAGCTGCTGAGCCTCTTGCACACCCTTCTGCTGGTCAGATCCTGCAGGTTTTGGCTGGGTCAGTGTCCACTTGAGCAGGGGACCTGGGGACAAAGTAGAGAGGATGATCAGAGCATGGGATGCACAGTATCAGTGGCCTTTCCCCGGGTTTTAATCCGCTCTGTGCAGTCGGTTATGGGAGGAGAGGTGAGAGGGGCCGGAATCATTCACTGAGAATAAAGTACCCAAGGGATGGGGATGGGGACACTTCCCAGAGTTCCCAGTGCTCTGCTCAAGCCCTGCACTGCAGTGAGCTGCCAGCAGCTGGGACCATTTGGCTCCAGGAGCAGTGATTTTAGACATTACCCAAATGCTGCCCAGGAGGTGGTGGTTTAGATACCACCAGAACTCTGCCTCTTTCAAAGCTGTTACCAGCTTCTGTTTTTTAAATAGAATCTTTCATGAAATAAGCAGCCCTTTACCTGGATTCCTCACTTGGAAGGTTTCAGCTGCGTGGATGCAATGGGACTTTGGGGATTTAGCAGCATGGGACAGATGCTCTCCAGTTTGGTAACTGGCCCCTATGTCCTCTGCAGAGGAGCCAGTGTTGGTGCAGGAGGGACACTGGGGCTCTGAGTCCCAGCAGCGCTTCTCACCCACTGCAGAGCACGTCTCTGGGTGCTAAAGCCACGGGCACGGCGCACAGCAGGAGGTGGGAGCCGTGTCATTGATGCATCCCTATCCCGGGGATGTTTTAGCTTCTGTGGCTCTCAAACAGCAAGGTGATGGCTTCCTCCCACCGGCCATAGGAGCAGAAGCCCAGCTGCAGAGAGGGAAAGAGCCGTGAGTGAAGCCCAGCGACACGCTGGGGAGCACCGAGCCCCGGGGGCAGCGCTACCCGAGGCTGGAGGGCACCGAGGGGCCGTGCTCCGCAGCAGTGGGGGCAGCCCCGGCACTCACCGCTCCTGCCCCGATCAACCGCGGGCAGGGACCGCGCTGCCCCCGGGTCGCTCCGCACGCACCACCCGGTCCGGGCACCCTGCGCCTCTCCCCGGCGCTCGGCCGATAACGCCCAGGGGAGCCGGCTCCATCGCCCCTGAGCGACTGCCCCCATTGCCCGCACCGGGGCTGCCCCGTGGCCAAGCCGCGGCTTTAACCGAGGCCGGGCGGAGCTCGGCCCGCCCCAAGCCCCGGGGCCGCCCCGCTGCCCGGAACAAGGATGGCGGCGCTGCCCGTAAGCAAGATGGCGGGGAGGAGACGCCGGCCATTGGTTGAGCGCTAAAGTGACGTCACGGGGGAGGATGCAGGCGAAGGGATGCCGCGGGAGCGCGCGTTATGGTGGGACCGGGGGGGAGCATCGGGGTGAAGGGATCGGGATGGGGAGAGCGGGATCAGGGGATCGGGATAAGGGGATCAGCATGGGGAGAGCGGGAGCAGGGAATCGCGATGAAGGGATTGGGATGAGGAAAGTGGGATCAGGGGATCAAGATGAGGAAAGTGGGATCAGGGGATCGGGATAAAGGGATCGGGATGAGGAGAGTGGGATCAAGGGATCGGGATGGGGAGAGTGTAATCAGGGGATCGGGATAAAGGGATCGGGACGAGGAGAGAGGGATCAGGGGATCGAGATAAAGGGGTCGGGATGAGGAGAGCGAAATCAAGGGATCGGGATGAAGGGATCAGGGTGGGGAGAGTGGGATCAGGGCATCAGGATGAAGGGATCAGAGTGAGGGGATCGGGATGGGGAGAATGGGACCATGGGATCAGGATGAAGGGATCAGAATGAGGGGATCGGGATGGGGAGAGTGGGATCATGGGATCAGGATGAAAAGATTGGGATGAGGGGATCAGGATGGGGAGAGTGGGACCATGGGATCAGGATGAAGGGATCGGGATGGGGAGAGTGGGATCAGGATCAGGGCAGTGGGGTAAGGAGAGCACCAGGGTATCAGCCAGCCAATGGGATCTCTGGGCTGAGGCAATGGAAGCCAAGGGGTATCGGGGCCTTGAGGGTCAGAGTGTGCGGTGCTGGTGCAATGATGCCCTGGGCCCAGCCCCGCTGACCCCCGCAGTGGCCTGCATGGGATGCAGCACAGTGTGGGCATGGCAGTGCTGGGGCGGTGCCTGATGGGTGGCAGGGGGACAGGCGGTGCTGAGCTGATGTGGTGCTGGGTACGGCTCGTGGCGTGGACCTGGTGCTGCTCCAGCCACAGCCTCCATGAACCTCAATGGGCTCAAGGTGGCCAGGGCAGGTGAGTGGCTCCATCGCCCGGAGCCTGCAGGGACAGCCCCGCTGTGCCCCTGCCATGCATGCAGCGTGTCCTGGTGCGTGTCCCCCCTCATCACTGGGGTTCTGGTGCTGTTTCCATGGTGAGAGCTGCAGCCTCCTGCCCTGAGACATTGACCTGGTTCATGATGACCTGAACCAGGCCTTGGGCAAGGTGATGATCAAGGTGGGGGCAGTGTGGGGTGCCCACAGCTCTGGGTGCGTGAGCTCTGCCTTGGGAACAGGGGTTAGGAGCCATTAGGATGGGATCAGGTGTAAGGGCCCCGTGACCATTGACCTTTGGCCTCTGGCCTCTGACCCCATGACATCTCTGACCCAATGCGTTCAACCTCATAGCCCTTGACCTCTGGCCCTGTGACCTTTGATCTTTGACTCTGTGGCAGGTTGACCTTTTGACCCAGGGACCTTTTGCCACTGACCTTTGATCTGTGACCTTTTGCTTCTGTGACCTTTCTGTCTTGTACCTGTGGTGCTTTTGACCTCTGACCCCAGTGACCTTTTAATCCTTGACCTCACAGCCATTGAACCCCATCACCTCGAACTTTGCACCCCGTGACCTTTTGATCTTTATCACCTTTGACCTTGTGACCTCTTGACATGGTCATTTTTTACCTCTGACCCCATTGCCTTTTAATCTTTACCCTCATTACCTTCTGACCTTTGACCCCTTGACCTCTGGTTTTTGGCCCTGCCATACCCTTGCAGGCACCAGAGCTGTTCCCAGTCCCATCCCTACATCCCACCTGTCCCCATCCCTCCATCCCTGCTGCTCCCATTCCTCCATCCTGCCTGTCCCCATCCCTCCATCCCTGCTGTCCCCATCCCTCCATCCCGCCTGTCCCCATCCCTCCATCCCAGCTGTTCCCATCCCTCCATCCTGGCTGCTCCCAGCCAGCCCCAGGCTGCAGAGCACACACAGGCACCGTAGCCCCCAGCTGGGACCATTCCCTCATTCCCCATGCAATGAGAGACCCCAGGATCCTGCTGGGGGTCTCTTTAACGTTGGGTTTTCCCCTTCACTCCCAGGGGGACAAAACGGCGTCCAATCCTGCATCAGTGCTTTGCACTCTATGTGAGTGCCCCTGGCTGGAAGGAGATCAATCCTGCCCCCACCTCAGTGCGTGGCTCCTTGTGCCCCCATTCCTCTCCCCCCACACAAGCCCCTGCTCCCATTCCTCCCCCCTTTCCCCTCTCCCCTCCTTCCCTCTGCCTCCCCAGGGGCTGACATCAGCTTGGCTGCAGTGAAGGACATGGAAACAATCAGCTGGAGCTGCTCTGCCAGGCCTGGCAGGAGCCTGGGAGCTTGGCCCAGCCCAGCAAAACCTCTTCCAACATCATGTTTCTTGGAGCAAGCACTCAAATCCACCTGGAAAACACAAGGAGCTGCTCCCCCCCTGCCAGCCCCATTCCCAGCACTGACCCCTTGCATCTCTGATCCCTCCATCTCCCTCCATCTCCCCAGGAGATGACCCTGCTGCAGGTCAGCATCGGGCGGCCGGAGGATGCGGTGCCGGTGCCCGGGTCCATTCAGCACCATGGAGCAGGAGAGGCTGGAGGCCAAGGCAGTGACCCGGCTGCTGGAGCACATCCTGCAGGGCCCAGCACCAGCAGGGCACAGGGGCTGATGTGAGCCCAGGGACCCCATGGCCAGGGCGCTGTGGGGTGAACCAGTGCTGGTCGCACAGACCTCAAACCCCCCATCCCTGGCTCCCTGCTCCTGCCTGTCTCTGTGCTGCCGGCAGAACTGGGGCCATCCCTGGCTCTGTGGCTCCATTCCATGGTCCCAGCCCTGTTCCACCAGCACAGGCTGGAGGGAGCCTTCCAGTGGAAAGCGATGGGAGCGACTTCCACGTGGTCCAAACCGTCTGGGCTTTGTTGAGAAACCATAGCAAAAACAAGTTGCTTGGGGTTTCGTCATTGCTGCCGCGGTCTCAGGGCTGCGTTCATGGGGTTTGAGTTAGATGGTTTAAACTGGAGCTTCCAACTGGAGCTCCCACTCCTCCTCATCGACCTGTTATAGGTCTCACGTGGAAGGAGCAACCCATTACCACTATGGTGTCCCAAAGCCCTGGGCTCTGCCTACATATCCTGCCCTTCCTGTGGCTGCACTGAGCTCCTCACCTGCATCCCAGTGGATACTGGATACTGGAACCTTACTGCACCCAGCTCCTCCCATAGCTTTGAGGCTGCCTATGACCAGGGGGCAAGCAGGGCACAGACACATCCTGTGCTGGCTGGGTCCCTGTGGTTTGCAGGCCATGCACGCAGCCACCTCCTCCCCGTTTTCCATTAGATCCATGCAGATCTCCAGGTCCCATGTCATCTGGAGCTGGTTTACCTTCAGGAGGTCCCTGCTGCGGCCGTTTCACCTGCCCCCAGTGATGTTCTCATGCATCACATTTGGTGGTCTCGCACATCCCGCTTTGGGTCTTGGCTACTGAGGCTTCCCCCCTTGCTCCATCGCCTTCCTATCAAGGGGAGAGCCCCAGCACATCCAGGATCGGGGTGCGGAGCTCACCCAGCCCATGCCTTGCTGCAGGGTCTTTAAGGAAGCCGCTCCTCCAGCCCAGAAGCCGCTGTTCCCAGCCCCACATCTCCCTGCTGCGGAGCTGTTGAGCACCAAAGCAGCCTCGGAAAGCAAAGCGCCCTCCTGCAGAGCTGGCCACGAAGGTGACAGATGCCGAAGC